CCCATCCCCTATCGTGATTCAGCTGCTTCAGCAAGTGACAGAAGTTCTGGCCATGCAACTTGCTGAACCCAGCTGAATATCGTAACAATACCACAGATGGGAGCACTGCTACACAACAAATATAGGAGGATGAAGTCAGTGGGCTCAGAAACCCAGACGCTGTCTGCAAATGCACAAGTTCGCAGAACCAGAACGCTGCTCAGCAAGGAGACGATCCCCCCTACAACGACAGAAACAGCAGATATGACTCAGCAGTGATCACACACTCTTGCAGTCAGGGATATCAGCTCAGCGGTTTGAGATGTTTGAGGATGGGAGTGGCAAGCAGATAACCAACCGCAGTTACTTAAGGGATAGCTCATACAAAGGGAGTGGGTAGGGGAACGGGAGACAGGCTTGCCTACTGGAACTGGGAGTCAAGTAAGGGTGATAGCACCAGGCCCTGAGAAAGAGACAACAAGGGGTAGGTAACAGGCTGAAGGGAGTGAGGCACATCAGCCAAACTGTCCTCAAGTCCGTCAGTAGCAGCCATGAGAGCTGAACATACTATCACCCACTATAGTCAGCTGATAGGCAAGACAGTCAGGTGGCCACCCACTTCTGCCGACCAGACTCTGACCTTAGGGGGGAGGTCCTACAGCACAATGTCACCAAAACTACATATCTGCTTAATCAAGCAAGAGTAATAACAACAACAGACAGATAGAGGGATGAAGGGATAGAAAACAGTATCTAGGTGCATCCACTAGTCAGCAACTATAACAAACTACATCTCCACACACATGACCATTACAATTGCACACCCACCAACTCTTAATGTTCAGGGATGCTGGACCTGCTTTCCAGCAGGTGCTGCTCCCCACCAATAGATGGAGCCCCCCGGGCAGTACTAGAGGTGTCTGCTCTTACCAGCACCCCTAGCACTCGTCCGGGCTGTTTCGGGAAAAAAAAAAAAAAAAAAAGGACAGGCCGCCCAATACTTACGCAACCAACGGACCCCGACAGTCACTGTGAGCGAAGTCGCAGAGTTTACTGACCTATAAGGCTATACCAATCCAACAATATAACATGCCCAAGTTCAACCAAAACAGTGGCGATCAAGGGCCTCGGCACACTACTCCAAAAACCGGGTGTTTTCAGGAGTGCAGCATCGCCATACCAGCTGCGAATTTGATGTGTCAGATCAGATTCGGGAGCTGTCAGAATTTCACCCCGAGAGCACTCCCAAAACCACAGCCTGCAAAGCTGCATTTTCGGGAGACTCTTTCGGACCTCCGAGTATGGCAGTATGTGGCAACAGTCAGATTTTTTCACTCGCGAGAGCACTCCCGAAACCACAGCCTGCAAAGCTGCATTTTCTATGGGACTGCTTCCCATAGAAAGTGTCCGCATGTGACAGCTGTCATTTTCAGACTTGGAGAGCGGCCCATTCGAGAGTGCAGTGTGGCGAAAGGCATTCTTGAACGGGATTTCACGTTCGGGAGCACTCCCAAACTTTTTCTAGAACTCGGGACTGGTGTGGCGAGGCCCCAAGTCACTGCCTAGGAGAAGCTTTCCTTCGCGC